ACTATTTCGTTTAATGTGATAAGGGGACTGTAAGCTGGATGTCATATCATTGTGGGAAAAATTTAACTATCCTTATCACCTTAAAAGGTAATTTCGAAAGCCTACTTTCAAACGAAAAATCATCAAGGTACTCGATTTCTATAGAACATATGATCTTTCTTCATCGAAAGTCCTATCGCATACATTGATATTGGAAAATGCCTGGATTTCCTTGAGATACACATTGACCCTGTGACCTAAGGACACGCGTGGCAATATGGCGTAGAGGTTAACGTATCGAGATTATACGCTGCACTGTCATGATTCAAGTCCTGCTGATGAGACATAGGCGAGGTAGAATTGGCAGCCATCCCTGGATGAAAATATCTTTAGGGAAGGCAAGGTCCATGCATATTATTGTGGGACAATTCAATTTTCAGTCCCCTTATCACTTTAAGCGAAATAGGCTTAATACACCTAATATGTCTCAGGACGTATTTGAATTTCAGGATGAGTTAATTTATATATTATATTGGGAGTCTGTTAGTGAGCTTGATTGTTTCACTAAAATAAACATAAGTATTAGTGGATTAATCTCAATTAACCAATAAAATTTAAAAAATATTTCCGATTTGATGACATTGCTCGCTAATACGAATCACTGTTCAATTTTTGCATTTATTTTATTTAGATTATCTACTCAACAACATAGTATTTAATTTATTTCTATTTTGATCGATTATATATATTTAGTGGAAGTTATTACTCCTTAAAGGGCATTAACTTATTAAAGATCTTTCTTTCAAATACGTTACAAATTTGAAATATGTACTTAGCTATTTATTCGATGAAAATTTTATTTTCGTCCCTAACTTATTGTTATTAAGAGATTTTTTGTTGCAAATACTTTTTTCCCTATTCGCTCTCTAATAGCGCCTCTACTATATGTCCATCAATCACATCTTTCAAGAAGTTTCTTTAAGATATTAATACTTTGTTAGGTCAAGCTTCCATTAAATTTTTTTTGTTTATAAGTTAGTTTTCGACACTACCATTAGATCAACTATCGGTCTTCCTATCACTCTTCACCAAATAGGGTGAATATATTTCGTTTACAAAGTTTGTACCGTTTACTTTCATTTATAAATCTCGATTAATCAAGCTGCTAGATATCCGACTTTAATAACTGGAATCGAAAGAAAATGGAATTCTCCCTTAGTATATGAAGTACTTTTGGCTGGCAAAACTAATATTACCTTCTATTTTTGTGCTTTATCTACTTTCTAACCTATAGCTGATACGCTGAGTCTCGCATGTTTGTCAACTCACCAACCTTCCCGCCCCACTGGACTCAACTTACCAGCTAGCCAAGTAACTTTGGCTCCTGTATCCAGTCGGCCTTGTTCGCCTGCTGCTGCTGGTGTTTCTCTGAATTTTGCTGCTAACTCACCAGCTGAACTGCCTTCTTCCACTGGGTCTCATACTTGTAAACCAGCGATTCTGACTATTTCATCAACTCCATCTTCAATAGAATTTCAAGCGCCTGTCTCTTTCTCCGAGTCTTCTGGTCTCATAGAGACATTAAGTGCTGTTTCTGAATCATCTAGCCATGCGTTTCTAGATACTTGTACTCCTACGGCCTCCCAGGTTATTATTTTTGCATTAATTATTCTATCCATGTTTTTATTTACAGACCTCATATCTAAAACTTATTCGATTGATTTAAGAATCTCATCTTTCCTCCCTCTAATTTTAGATTAACCTAAGCTAATAAGTCATTATCCTTTTTCGAAAGTCCTTTACTAAACCTTTTTTATAAATATTTGCTTATTTTACGTTTTACTCACCAAATTTTCATTTCTCGCAACATATACCTCTATCTTCCAATTATATCAACTTTTTTAGAACGAATACTTTTTCTCACATATTCCCCCCGTAGCCAAGTAGGCTACAAGTCACACACAAAAAGGTGACTGGTGACATATTTGACCATGGGAAATACCAGCCAACGCATATATTAACCTCCTAGTATCTCAGGCTTAGATTGGAGTCAACTTGAAGATGAAAGTATTGTGCTTTCCGCGATTCAGGAAAAAAAAGGCGGTGCCTTTTTGTACCATTGGTTATCACTTAAGCCGGGCACAGGGCCCCAAAGAATGGGGCACAATGGGGGTGGGGATGAGGAAGGAGATAATCGAATCATGAATTTGAAGCCTAGGAAGAGGAAGATTCTTAGGCATAGACATGGGCATGAGCATCATCTACTATAATTCCTCGAATGCGACGTTATCGAAGGACTTTAGGCAGCCAGCTTTCAGACGGTCAGATAGTGGTTTTATTTCTAGTAGCAACCAATTGACTAGCGGGGAGGGGAAAGGAGGCTAAATGAAGGTCAGTAGCCCTGCAAATGTCACTTGGTACCGGTGGAGGAGATGATTACCCCTCAAAAAGCCCATTTTTAGCTAAACAATTTTAGGTGGCATTACAGTAAACGAAAGCACAGAATTGTGTTAATAGGTAGATGGGCCATATGAAG